ATTTAGAATTTTTTAGTTACTTAAAAAATTGACATACTTTTTAAATCAGCCAAGATGTGTAAAAAATATTTTGAGTTTCTAAAGGAAAAAAAAATTACCTTATAATTTTATAGCTTTGGTTCAGAGCATAAATTCAAGGAATGATATGGCAATTTCCCTCTTGATTTAAGCGGCGTAGATAGCCAAATTGGATGCACAAACTAAAACTTCTCTCTGGGACTTGAATTATCTTGCTGAACTCATGTGCTAAATACAGATATGTAAGAAATGTCATACCAGGTTAAATCGATTGTTCATGGCACATTGGTAGTTTATGGGAATGCATGAATTCTTCTCACAACATTGATCTACCTTGAACATTCATTATATTCCCCTAGTAATACATTATATGTCAATTTTCCACAAATCAATTTTCTACAAAGACCTTCTTGATCCCATTTCTATTTTCAGTCAGTACTGCCTCTTTAGTAATGAGTTTATTATCTCTTGTGTATACCTCACTTCTATATTCCGATGACTGTGTAAACTTTAATTTTCAAAATACCCACTAGAGTATACTATGATTTGGAATACATGACTAACTCATCTATTTCTATCTATTACCTTATTTTAATTTTTCTAGTTTAAAAGGTTTAAATTTTCAATTGATTTTGTGTAGACAACTTTTTGTCTTTGTATATATATTTGTAAAATGTAGTCAATCCTTTATGATTAAAAACAATGAAAAATATATATCTGTTCATAAAGAGGGTCATTTTGTTTATGGGCATTATTTGCTTTATTGTCACATTAGCATGATATACATGAAGTAATTATCTTGTGATAATGTGTTACATATCCTTTTGCTTGATCTTCACTATACTTTATATTAATAGACACCCCAAACTAAAATACTGATGATATTGTCTACCTTGCTACAGTTCACAAACTAAGTATAATATACTATTTTATCAGTACTGAATAAATACTCACACTGACAGTTTTTTGGGATTCATGAACTTCTAATATTATTTGAGTTAATAATATATTAACTTCTCTTTGTTAATTTGTGTGTAAATCATTCTCTTCAGTCCTTCTATTAGAACCCTTCATGAAATGTGGACAAATGTACTATGCTTTGCCTCCTGGTGAAGACTTTATTTGTAGAAAGACAAAGTATAGTTTGTTGATCTAGTCTTTTAACTACTTTCTTATTTTTATCTTTATGCCTTCAAAAGTTCAGTCTTTAGTACTTGTAGGAAAAGTTAACTTTTGATTTCAGATTGATATATTTGAAATTAATTGTTCCTTAACACCTCTAGTATAATTTATGCAGATACATAGGTCTGCTATGCCTTGATATTTAAGGTTATTGGCCTTATAGTGCTTTGTTTTGATAATCAGGAATGTGTAGTTTTATTTGAACTGTAAATGAATTTGAGAACCAATACATCTAGATGTTAAATTATGTTAGAGTCTTTTTTAAACTATAGAAGCTAGGCGGAGTGACACATACCCATAATCCCAGCACTTGGGGGGCTGAGACAGGAAAATTGCTGCTAAATCAAAGCCTGCCAAGGTTCCTTATCAATTTAAGACCAACCTGAACTACCCAGTGAGATCCTGCTTCAAAAAACCCAAAACAAATAATCCCAAATTAACTACACTAGTGTGAGCTATTAATTTCCAGTATTGAGGAGTATATAACAAAGCTAAGTGTTAGCCTTTAGAAGCTAACTATGGACTCCAGAGACATTACTTTTTCTAAACTTAGAAATCACAATCAATAGTCCATGTATGGTGTGTTCACTATATTTATGAAATCTTGCAGGAAAAACCATACTTAGGAATCATAAAACTAGAGTAGTGTTATCTACAATTAAATGTAAAAGATTATCAGAGGAAATGAAATCCTATAGGGATAGTGTGAATACTTATAGATTTCATTTCTTACAACAAACCTCTTCCTAGGCTACAGCAAAGAAGGACTGTGTCTTATATGTGAAGATACCTCTTCCCATTTTCCTTGAGTAAACATGTGGCTACTTCTAGAACGTAGATCTTTTTATCTAAAGAGCATGTACTTGGTTCAGTGCATTTGTAGGAGGAAAAAGCTCATGCTCTTTGACTAGACTAAGAAAAAGCTGGAAAAAGTTGACATGGTTTAAAAAGAGAAGAACCAGAACAAGAAAGATCTTTTTCTTCACTAGAGACATTATTTCCCTGCCTTTCTCTAGCAGAATACCATGAAGAGTACTTGAAACTTAATCCTGTGTTTGTGTCCTTCAGCCTGACATGGCACCTTACCATAGTATAGTGAAGAAATGGACCAGACAGTGATAAAGGGACCACACAAGCTGAGCTCTGCTCTGCAGATGACATGAGTAGAAAGCTTTTTGAACGAGCATGGAAAGGCACACTGTCACTTGTCTTTCTCTTCTCAAGAAGCCAGATGCATCCTGCTCAGCCATCATGTTCCCAGAAGAACATGATTCAACTTCCATGTTTAAGACAGTCACTGTTAACACTATAGACCCACTGGAAAGGTGCTGGCACCCTGGGAGAAATTTGGATAAGTGTTTTTCACTTCAGTGTTTTCATGTGACCTGACTCTCCTCCTCAATTTAGTTACATCTTGACTTCAAAAGGGCAGCCAGAGTATGCCTCCCTGTATTTGGCTCCTTAATTTAATATGTCCAAGCCCCTCTTTCCTCTTCTCCCATTGCATGCAACCTCTTCCTTGTTTCTATTGTAAGCTACAAATGGAGCTTTCCCCTACATGTCTGTATAATGTTTGCACTCCAACTTCCTTGGTATGGACTTTTCTTCCAGACAGAGGAGATGTATTTGGGTGCCTGAGAAATATACACTGGAAAGTAGTCTAAGCATGTCCTCGTGTCTTCAACCAGATATGACTGACTAATCATATATCTGTTAGCTTCTTTAAGCCTTCCCTGGTAGGGAGTACAGGCAATAATAGTTCATCTATTATCAGTATAGAGAACATCTCTTTTCTTCACTTCCCTCCCTCTCTATTAAATGACTGATTTTATGCATGAACTGATAGACAAGCCATGGATGACCTGTTTTTTTTTTTTTTTTTTTTTTTTTTTTTTCTTCTTCTTCTTCCCTCCCTTCCCCCCTTTTTCCCTTGCGGTAAAATAGTGCTGAAGAAAGAGGGCACTAGTGTACAGCCCAGATTGCATCCTTGCACCGTCTGGATTGGAGCTGAGTTGTCTGCGAACCAACCGAGGGCGGCCGCGGTCCTCTGACCCGAAATATGGATCTCTCTATCCCGACTCAGGTAAGTCTGTATCCCTCAGACAGGTGAGCGGACACCTACCCACAGAGATTTAGCCCTAATCTATTGGCTTTCCTGCTGATTTCAGGAATACCTTCGCTTATTTCATTTAGTTCTACATGCCTGGGAAGCATCAGGGCGGTGGGTGTCTGGGTTGTCTTGCTCCTTTTGCCTGCTTCTCTTCCTATGCTCACTTCCTGCCTGCTCCCCTAGCCCTTTTCTGGTCTGACTCTCACCTTGAGAAAAGAACTGGGGAGGGATGGGAGAGGGAGCCAACTTCAGCTCTGCAGGAGGCAGAGATTTGGCGCCTCCCCCCACCACCCCAGGCGGTTGTGTTTGAATGTGTACCTGCAGAAGCGCCAGGAGGGGTAAAGAATGAGGGTGGAGAGGTGGGGTGTGTGTGTGTGTGTGTGTGTGTGTGTGTGTGTGTGTGTGTGTGGTGCGTGTGCCTGTGTGTCTCTGGATAATGAACACAGAGGAGGGAGTTGAAAGAGAAAAAGGGGAGATCACGGACTAACAATTCATAGTCAAAGCAATCCTTGAGGCCCTGCGGGGTACCCGGTTTGCAGCTGGACCGAGCGCTGTCCGTGGTGCTGAACGCGGCAGGGCTGGAGCTGCCGTGGCCAAATCCGTGCCACAGACACTTCCTTCAGTTCCCTTTGCAGCAACTATGCAAACCCCAAGGGTCCTGATCCAAAGTCAGGAGACGCTTTTACCTGTCTCTCCGTGTAGAAAACAAGTTACCCTAGCGGCATCCCTTTTCCTTGAACAGTGACAGTAAGCTTGACTTCTTGGGAGTGGGGCGCATGCTAAACTCTAGCATAGGGAGACTTTATCAGGCGTTGCCTTAGAAACTAATATGGATTTTCCACAAACTGGCAGGTTTATATTTACTACTTGGATTGTATGTCTAGCTGTGTTCAACCTTTCTAAGCTGAAGTAAAAGGTGCACACCTTGTTTGCCTTCATTTTACAGTAGCGCTCCCACCTTTGCAATGAGCCTCCAAATTTTCTTCTGGGAAAAAGTTGATCTTTTCAAATTCGGAAAGTTCTCTTAGGTTGGAGGATTTCGCTTCTCCCCTACTCTCTTCGCCCTTCCTCAGTTGCTCCAATACCCTCCCCCCATTAGAAAACATGATAAGTATCTGGGGACTGGTGTGAGACTTGGGGCCGCAGGCAAAAGCTAGGCATGGGCTTTGAGCAGCTCGGGACCTGGAGGGCGCTGGGGACCGCAGGCAGCACTCTCCTCCCCGGAGGCAGCGGACCTGCCTCCCGTGCTGTCAGTGCAGCCAGGATCAGGACATATTGAAATGGATGGGGAACAATTAGCACCCATGACTTCAGGTTTAAACACAGGTCCTCTGATCAGTTGGCTTTGATTTCTCTCCTCCCACCCCCTTTTTGTCAGCAGCGTCCAGCACAACCCTCATTGCACTCTTGATCAATTTATGTTGGTGCACCTGTGAAGAACTGGGACTCTATTTCCCTTAAAAACGCCTCCAGGGCTTAAGGGCGGTCGTTGAGGATCAGGAGGAAGAGGTGGAGGGGAAAGAGGCGGTGGTGGAGGCGGCGTGGGCACTGGACGAACAGTGCTGGTGAGGGGCGCCCAGGCGCGGGCGGAGCAGCGGGCGTCTAGGAGGTGAGTGCCAGAGCCGGCAGGCGCGACCAGCGAGCAGCTTGGGAACGCGGCTGCGGAACTGTGGACTGGGTCCTTACCACAATGGCCCGGATCCTATTGATTTTCTTCCCAGCGATCTTTTTGGAGATATCCATTCTCCCCAGGAACCCTGATAGGAAAACGTGGCTGGTGGGAGCCTCATCTCAGCGCTCTGTGGCCAGAATGGATGGGGATGTCATCATCGGAGCTCTCTTCTCAGTCCACCACCAGCCTCCAGCAGAGAAGGTGCCTGAAAGGAAATGTGGGGAGATCAGGGAGCAGTATGGCATTCAGAGAGTGGAGGCCATGTTCCACACATTGGACAAGATTAACGCCGACCCCATCCTCCTGCCCAACATCACCCTGGGCAGTGAGATCCGGGATTCCTGCTGGCACTCATCCGTGGCTCTGGAACAGAGCATTGAGTTCATCAGGGACTCTCTGATTTCCATTCGAGATGAGAAGGATGGGCTCAACCGGTGTCTGCCTGACGGCCAGCCCCTCCCGCCAGGCAGGACTAAGAAGCCCATTGCAGGTGTGATCGGTCCGGGCTCCAGCTCTGTAGCCATTCAAGTCCAGAACCTGCTCCAGCTGTTCGACATCCCTCAGATCGCCTATTCTGCCACAAGCATCGACCTGAGTGACAAAACTTTATACAAATACTTTCTGAGGGTTGTCCCTTCTGACACTCTGCAGGCAAGGGCAATGCTAGACATAGTCAAGCGTTACAATTGGACCTATGTCTCTGCAGTCCACACAGAAGGTAGGCATTATGTGTGGGTGAGAGGAGGACTGAGAGCCAGGGTGCTGCGGGATGTGCTCTTAGGGTCCTAGTTTCTGCACTGTTCAATTTTTAGCACTGTGGGAAACAGACAACTTTTCAGCACACACCCACATGGCATTGCTTTTTACCCTCATTTTCTTGTAATTATAGTGTAAGAAAATTGTATGTAGTGATGTTTCTCCAGATAGGAGGAATGGGAAGGCTATCAAACTCCATAGAAAGTGTACATGTCTAGATGTTACACTTACAGGATGGCTTGCCGCTGTACTTGAGTTTGTGCTTAGCAGGCTGGTGGGCAGCAGTTGCACTATATCACCCTTCTGTCACTGGCTGTGATTTGCCATAGCTAGTGGTCTAGTCCATGGCAAGTGAGAAACCAAAAAGAAAAGAAAAACACTCATAATTTAGACTTGAGAGCTTTGTCTTATCTTCAGTAGCTGCAGGTGTTCCTTTTCTTTTGTGTCCCTGGCTACACTTCCAAAACTTCCTGGAAATGTAAGGTTAATGCAGTCATGTCCTTCGGGATATCAGAAACTTACATTTTCAATTCTGGGGTGTCTTAGATACAAAGGAATTTAAAGTTAGACCAATTATAAATTACCAATAAAAGAATAGTAAATGTCAGGTGTAAAGTGGTTTTTTAAAATGAAACAGATTGACCTGAGGTTAAAAGCTTTGATTTTTCCAGAGTTTTGCAGATCTGAATTATGAAAATTTTAGGGAGGTTTTCTTTACTCTTATTGCTTTAGCCTATATAAATTTTTGGATTAAATGAGTATTTTTCAGCTCACTTATTCTTAATTTGCATAGTAGGCTTGTAATTAAATTGATATCCTACTTCTAAACTGATATCTGAGTTGATTCACATGTGTATTTGCTGGCAGACAGAAGAGAATCTTGTGCACTTACATTTCTTAAAATCAGTTTATTTAAAAAGGCTGTAGGCATACAAAACTTTAAAAATATTTTCACAGTGATTAATAAAAATGTGTGTTTTGATCATAAAAATTAAGAAGCGTTCTCACTGAATTGCCAAATAGTTATTATTAATGAAAATAGTTGCTTTAATTTATAAAGGGAACAGAGTTTTCAGAACAAAAATGTGTAGAACTCTACATCATATCCCAGACTTTGTTTTTCTAGAAAAAAACTTTCTGCTGCAATATAGTGACTCCCAACACTTGATTCTTCTTTCTGAATCTTGATTTTAATTACAAACTCTTAACTTCTTTTTGAACACAAATTCATTAATATTTAAGACAAAAATTGAAGTTCCAAAGTTGATTCCTTACATTTCAATGTCTGGTGTTAATTTCCTATATTTTAATATTTAGTATAATTTCTTCTTAAGTGGAACATTCTGGAAACACAAGTTGCAAATACTTGAAATATCAGCACTCAAGTGGTCTCTCCAAAAGGAATGGCAAAATTTAGGTTAACTGTGCCTTATTTAAATATTTAATAGCTCTCCTTCATTTGAATGAGGTAATTGATTATTGATATTGGAAGTATAAGCCATTCATTCAAGAAGAAGTACTGCTTCATAATTTTTATATACTTTGTCTTTCATATTTTATTATGAGATATTTTATTTTGGAGAGGGGAAAGACTCCCCTCTCCTAAATCTATTTTTTAATTTTACCACTTCGCCAAAACCAGTTGCTAATAGGGGTTGCTTTCTGAGAACAGTATTATGAAAAAAATTGAACCAGTGTTTGCTGATTTTGGTAGGCAATAACTTGTATCATAATTTTTACATATATCTATACCTGTATCTATCTATCCATTGATCAGTATTAATTTAGATTGCTTTCTTTTTTATCTGCTGACTGCTATATGGCCAGAGAAAAGTTCTCTACCCTGTAAGAGTGATGTATTACAGACTGGATTGTGCTCTTGGAACAGACAGCTTCATAGCTAACTTAGGTGTTTATTTTATTATAGGAGATTACACCATTCACTTTGCCATTTATGTACTGTCTCATTTCTCCTACAAACAAATTAATCTCTCCTCTTATTAAACATAACATCTGTGAAAACTAAATTGCTTTTATTTTATCCTGTCTGCAAATGTATTTTGCGTGAGCTCTTTAGTGTTAGTGCCAACTGAAAATATTTCCTGAGACTTTGCCCTCTGCTTCTCAGGGACCCATGGTGCTCTGACTTACAGGCACTTTCTTGGATGACTTAATAATTTTCCTGCCTTCAGACTGATGGGGTCACCTACTGGTGACAGTTGCCTGTCAAATAGCAGCTAAGACCACATATCAGTATTTTCTCTGCCATCTGGGCATTATTTAGCAATGAATCCTATTTGTCTGAATATTGGCAATTTGGAGTTGAGAAATCCTGGACTTCCATTGACCTTCACTTCTCCTTCCCAAATCAGCCTTTCTCTAATTCATTACCAGGTCTTTCATTAGAAACTAACCTACCATGGATACCACCAAAATGTCTATAAACTAACATACCTTAATTTTTATAATTAATTTTGTGACTTTAAAATCATAGATGAGGCAGCTATTCTTTGAATTCTGTATTGCTTTTTATATTCCTTTACACTTTATTTTATATTTTGGTCAGCTTTGATTTTTTAATGTTTATTTAGACCACTAGAATTTCATTGTTAAATTTCCTTTTCTTGCTTTAAATATAGTATCGTATCACCTCATTTGTGCTGCACATGTCCTTTGGCCATGGTAACTGTCAGTTTATCTGATATAAAAGAGAATCAGTATACACAAAGTTACCTGCAATTGACTCTATAGAAATTGCTCATGATTGCCTTCTGAGAGGAATACTGAAATAACTCTTCCAAGGGGGAAGAGGGTTATTGAATCAAGAGGGCCTTATTTACTGATAAAATCTGAATGCACTTTGGAATAAGGTGCTTACCTGCAGTGTGTGCCTTTAAAGATGCTCAGCATAGAGTACAAGAATAATCACTTCTTAGAAGAATATCTTAACCAAGGACACTTTATTCCATTCTTTTGATAAAATTCAGATTCCCCATCAAAAGCTCAGTTTCTAATTTAAAAAGTTTGTATAAAATAGTACTTCAAAAATAATTTTAGTTGAATGAATTGAAATCATGGAAGAAGTGCAATGAACAATATGCTTTGAGTTTATAGCTTCAAATGGGTTTATAAAATTGGATATACTTTCATTTGCTTTAAGCTTTCTTCTCAAATTAGATCTTAGGCAAAAGAGCAGTGATATAGGAAACTTAGTGGTGCTACTCTTCATATAAAAATATCCACTTTTAAATGACTCTGTGGTGGGAATTTCATTATGGTGCAACTTGTTATTTGACGTTTTTCATATTTTATATTAAATTATGTTCAATTTATTAAATTATATCTTTGTGATTTTTTCAAAGTCTCATCTTTTTAATAGGATTTTGGTAGTGTTTAATATGAAATCTGGTTTAAAACCAATATCCCCTTGCCTCATAAATATATAAGTTGGCCATTGTTTTAGATAATGTATTTACATATAACAGTTTTGTATCTACTTTCACCTTAAATTGTTCTTTGATCACTAATCTTCTCTACAAACTTTTGTCTGGATTGCAACGTATTGCAGAGGATGGTATTTTAATACATTGTTTTATTTTATCATAGAACAAGGAGTGGGAGTGTATTGAAAGGCCATGTACTCTGACCATTTAGTGGTGCTTAAAACACCACTATTGCTTATACACTCTATTTTCTAATTGTAATCAGGGTTTCTAATGAGAATGAGAGGATTTATGAGTAAAATTCAGAAGTAGACTCTTACATAACTCTTAACTCTTACATACAGGAAAGATGTTCTGAAACCTTCACTAGCTCTTCATCAGCAAGGAATCACACAAAAACAATTCAAATTTTCTTCCTCATGATATTTGTTACCCATGAGCCCTTTCCCTTCCATCCCATACTTCATCAGTCCCTTCTTTCATGTATTGTTTTTCTCACCATCAAAGGTGACTCAATGATCCTAGATCAATCAGTATCTCCAAGGCTTTAAAAGTTATGTGCTAGTATTAAGCCATATATATTTCTTATTCTTGAGTAATCATTATCATTTTCATTATCTGTAGTATTACTTTATCTGTGTACAAATTTGATTTTTTTCTTTTAAATGTTAAGTTGTCTTAAATATGCCTAACTTGCTAGTTAGTTCCAGCATTTTGATTAATTTATGTGACTATCTCAGCTTTGTGTTTTCAGGATTTAATAATGTACATTAAAACTTGAGAAAGATAGAGTCAAGTGTGACATCCCACCTCCTTCATCTGCAAACTGCTTTCTGTCTACTGGCAGTGGTTATCCAGCCTGTTATGAATTCCCTGCTTTTCTACTGCATTTCACACTGCCTTGTACATATATTAAAAACTATCAGTGGTTGAAATGAAAAGCATTGAAATAAATCTTCAACTCTACTTGAACATTTGTTTCAAAGATTATGTAAGAAATTTGAAGAAACTTGGTATCTCAGTCTCAAATACTAAGTTTTCAAATTAAAGCAAGTATAGTTTGAAGACATTAAGATAAGCAAAAACAAATAAGAACTTATCAATGAAGCACAGACATTTTAAAATATGAGCTTGTACATATTTAGGAAGTTTTGGTAGAAAACATTGGTGGTGTAATAATTTTGAGAAAAAGCTAGGATCATTTATAGAGAGGAACCTTTGTTAATATTTCATTTGGGAACATAGCATTTATAAACTTACAGACAGTACTGAATATGTTTCCATGGTGGGAAACATAAACAGATCTCTAGCTGAAGAATCTGGACCGGAATCTCATAATGAGGATGGTGGTGACTTCTGGTTTTTGGTGATTCTAGTGAGGATTTTTGAATCTTGGAGCATGTGCTGATAAACATTGGTTTCAAGAAAAATATGTCCAAGTAGAGTTCACTATAACTCAAATGTAAGTAAAGACCTCCGTTTCTGAAATATGTAAGAGATCCATTGGATGGGAAGGGATAAAATCGATGA